TTCTACTACTATAATACTGTACTTATTACCTGGTACCCTCAGTAGTTATGCTACTAAACCGAGGGTGTAAAATAATATGCCAGCTGGAGCAAAAGGTTGCTGAAGCTCACCTGTAGTATACGAGGAAGTAGCAGGAGTCCAGAGGGAGGTTTTTGGGGCGGGACCATGTCAGGGTGATGGCACCCAAGAAGTCAGGGGTCCACTGGAGGTTCTGGACTTTATAGGCCCGGCTGTCCACTAAAGAAAGAGGGGGATTCCTCAGTTTAGTTTCATCACACAGCCTGAAATAAACACCAAACAGCCACCAAGTGGCAGCATTGCACTGATTCTAACAATACTAGATGCTGCTTAAAGGAACTGAAGCTGTTATCTTAAAGACACCAGACTCTCAGAATACAGCAGCTGCTGGTCTACTGCTGGTCTACTGATGCCTCCATCGGTTAGTTATAAAGACATTCACCAAAGTCACACAATAAAGTCTGGTGTCTTTAAAGAGAGCAGAGATAACGGCTCCAGTTCCGTGAAAATATTCTAAATATGTTTCTCCAAACTCCACCTACAGTAGAAGTACGCTGAATGTAGAAGTACTTCATACAATCACACTTAAAAACCCTTTAAGTGCCTCAAAGTACTGAAGCAGTCATTGAGTTGATCCCAAAGTGAGCATCTTATGAAAGGCTAACATCCTCAAACCATCCACTCCTGCGTAACCTGAACCCGGTGGACCTACGGCTGCAGTTGTCCTCGTCGCTGTGGTCCGAGCAGTCCAGGAAGCCGTCGCAGCGCTCGCCGTCCAGCACGCAGGCTTCCCCGTCAGAGCAGCGAGTCCCGTTCACACAGAGCAGAGGCCCTCGAGTGGCTGCAGGGGGAGAGGGAGGATTACCCGCATCTCATTATGAACCACTGACACGACTGTACGTAGTGATGGAAAGTACAAGAATACCGTTTCATGTTTCCTGTGCAGCGCAACCAACGTTTTACGTTTATTCGAATTATAAATGTATCTAAGGATCTAAACTCTACAGCACGTTGTATTCCGCTCAAATCTGTGTGTGTGATGGTGTGTGTGTGTGTGTGTGTGTGAGATAGTGATAGTGTGTGTGTGTGTGTGTGTGTGTGATGGTGTGTGATAGTGTGTGTGTGTGTGTGATGGTGTCACGCTCTGCAGGGACTCACGGCAGTGGGCTTCATCGGACCCGTCCTGGCAGTTGGACTGGCCGTCACAGCGCTGCCAGTCGGGGATGCAGTGGGGGGGTCGGCGACACAGGAACTGACCCCGGAGGCAGCGCGTAGGGGAGGGCGGGGCCTGAGTGGGGGGCGGAGCCATTGTCGCAGAGCCGTTAGCTGCTGTTAGAGAAATATTAAGTTAAAATTTGTATTCCTTTTCTGTTCATTCTTGTTTTTCCCCTTTAATTGTTTAATTGTTTTATTGAGGTTGATATCGATGCACATAAGAATAACCCTCCACAGGTGATCAGGCAGAGGCGGTACCTGTGGGACATCCCAGCTCATCGCTGCCGTCGGGACAGTCGGCGTAGCCGTCACACACCCAGGTGTTGATGATGCAAGCTCCGGAGCCGCAGTGGAAGCGGTTGGGGGCACAGGTGGAGGGGCCGGGGGTCACGGCGTGAGGAGTGACTCCACCTGCCAGGGTGGAGGTTCAAAGTTTAAGGACCGAGGAGGGAAACTCATTCACGTTCTTTCTGTAGTATTTTATGCACATGAATAAATACTAATATAATTCATATTTTGGTTACCTCGACAGCATGTGATAAAGCCCACGGTGTTTACACGCTGTAGCAGATCAGCAGGTTTAATGTGTGACCTGTGATAACACACAGACCTCAGTGAGCGTACCTGTACACTGGGCCTCATCAGACCAGTCCCCACAGTCGTTCTCTCCATCACACTTCCACCACGTCGGAATGCAGCGTCCATTCTTGCACTCGTACTGGAAATACCTGGAGCAGCCGGGGACCTCAGTGGGAGCCGCTGCAGCGCACAGGAAGAGAATCAGATATACATGCACCTGTGTTTTATTTATAATGTGCATACAGTGTGTGTGTGTGTGTTCCTGTGCTTCTCTGAAGAACGCTTCCTGCTCA